ACAAAGATGAAGAAGAAGCAGTCCCAAGCTTGGAATGGTGGTGCATGCCTGCAGTTTCAGCCACTTGGGAGGCTGAAATGGGAGGACTGCTTGAGTTCAAGAAGTCAAGTCTAGCCTGGGTAACACAGCAAGACCCTGTCTCTAAAAAACTAATAAATAAAAAAACAGTCCTTGCCATTGAGGAATTCATAGTTTATGGTAAAAAGAGATGAGTAAACAAGTAGTAATTAATTGAGACAGGTGTTTTAATAAAGGTCTTAATGATCTAGGTCTGTTAATGATCCTAGGAATCTAATGACAGATGAAAGGCAAAAGATACTGAATGCATTTTCAACTCTTATGCCTCTTAATAATCAACCTGGATACAAATACAAATTTTTGCTATTAGCTTATTTTCTACTTACTTTAACTTGTAACAGTCAGTGATATTCTTCAGTGGAAAAAAGTACTTGAATATAAGACAAAGTCCTACCCTCCCCCGCATCAAAAAATGATACCTCAGACCAGAGGAAGTTGTCATATATTTGCGTGCTTAAAGAATTTCTAATATTACAGGGGCATTCATTCAATTACTTAATTTTGGACTATAAAATTATTTGGGGATGATACAAGGACCTTCAATGACCTAAATTACATTTTTAGAAGCTTACAAACATCACTTAAAACCTAAACTTGATATGCTGTTTCTAGTACACTACTTTCCAAGAAATTTGCTTTCAGGTAGTGGTTCTAAATCTCTTTTTAATCACGGATATCTTTCAAAATCTGAAAGCTATCGAACCTTTTCCACAGGGAAAAAGAAACACCCATCTATACATATACACAAAATGTGTATAACATTTTAGAGTGTTTTTGAGCCTCCTATAATCTAGCCTAAAAGTACCCATGCTCTAAAGGGAGGTGGGGCTGGGGAAATATAGGAGTGATTTCTAAATATGAACGAGGAGCCAGCATCATGAGAAGGTCAATATCAACAAAAAGTAGTGATGCAATACTTTGAATTCATTTTCCAATCATGTGGTGTAACTTATTCTATTTCCACTGCATACTGTTACTCTTTTAACAGAAGTATTCAGTAATATATATTTAGTATGTTACACTACATCGCCTAAACTTTGAGTAAAATGTTTTAAATGAATAAAAGAGAAACGGGCCTTGGAGGGGATGAGATGAGATAATGCATATTACAAGGAAATCTCAGTAATAAGAGTAAACTTTTTTTTAGGTCTTCTCATGTCCAGTTTTTCAATTTGCTTCTCCACAAATAATCTTACATTTGAGATAACAAACATTTGTTCAAAATGACCCAGGTAAAGCAGACAATGTTTTGAAGAGTATGATTATGAAAGAAGATAGTCAGATAAATGGCGTGTGCTTCCATTCTTTGGACAGGCACCAGGCACCCCTTTTGATCTATCACAATTGTCCTCTCATGCCCTTCCCATGCTAGGAGTCCCATGTGTCTTGCCTACTACACATATTTGGAAAGATATGGACTGATAGACACCTGTCAGAGCTTTGGCCTGGGTCATAACCTTGGGCTGCAGAGGTTAGGGGTATCCTAATTTGGGAGAGAGA